CAATATGGCACCATGACCCAAACACATCCTAGACTATTCTGTTGAAAATTAGGTGAAAGCTAATCTCTTTCCACTATATATATACTGATATGGACAACTTAGTCTTAACCCATTCCTTGAAGCCCCTTTGCTCACCTCCAAGAACTAGGACACGAGGAGCAAGCAGGAAGTGATGCCGTGGACTTGGCTCCTCTGCTTCCTGCCAATGGGTGGCTTTGGGAGATGTCCTCTGCCACTTTGAGTTTTAGTCTCTCAATCTGGAATTGAAGGTGTTGATTCTGGTTTTGGAGGATTTCCTGTTTGTGTGCTAATAAGGGCAGGCCTGGTGCGTTGTGTAGGTTACTGTTGGCAATATTTCTTCTGCTGGGTCAAGATACAGGCTTGTCCTTTCCTTCAGCGACTTCCTCTCTCTAAGTAGGCTCCATCTCTTAGCAATCAGTTATGAACTCATCGACAGACTCAACTATTGATGAAATAGTACCCTCACGGCTCAGTGCTACTCCCAGTTGAACATCAAGCCTTCAAAACCTGAGTCTTTTGAAAGGACACCCATATTCAAGCCGTAGCACCTACTTACAGGAGACGTTATAGTCTTTGATTCTTCCTCAACTCTTTTTGAACCATGTGGCTTAAATGCTACCCTGACTGGTGGTCCTTCTCCTGTCTAGAGCTTGAGCATTGATTCTGTTGGGTGAACACAGGGTCTGTGCCCTCCCTCTGAAAGTAATACGTGCCTGTTCTGACACGTATCACGTCTGTTCTTTAGCTTTAGGATTTTAGGCATCGTCTCTCTGTGTAGCAAGGACAGGGAAAAGAAAAAAATTATAAAGTAAATCAAATGTTTTGATATAGTGAGAACTGGAGATGCCCAGCCCTGCCCCATATTTATTCCCCACTGCTCAGCACAACTGTACTTACCTTCCTTCATGCCAGTGGACTCATCAGATTCCTGCAGAATCATGGGACTTTAGCATCCTCGGGCCCAGTGTTAATTCTTACCTTTCTCATTGCAATGACAAGGCACCTGATAGAAGCAATTTAAAGGGAGAAGGATTTATTTCAACTCACAGTTCGTAAGGGGATACAGCCCATCACAGTGGAAAGGCCCGGTGGCAGGAGAGCGAGGCCGCTGGTCACATTGTATTCTCAGCCAGGAAACAGGAAGAGATTGAGGCTGATGTGCATTCATGCTCTTTCCCTCTCTCTTCAGGCAGGGCACCCAGGCTCCATTCATCATGTGTCCTCCCTTTCAGTTAAACCTCTCCAGAAGCATCTTCACAGATACACCCAGAAGTGTATCTTCCAGGTGATTCTAAAATCCAGTCAAGTTGACAGTGGAGATTGACCATTACAAGTACAACCCTTGTCAACTTCTTACCCAAATACATCAGTTTCACACCATTAAACCTCACCCACGGCTCTATAGGTGTATGGCCATCCCATAATGCAAAATATATTTGAGACAGCTTCAAAATTCCAATATATTTAACAGTATCAACACTGTTCAAAAGTCCAACGTTTCTTTGTTTCTTTTGAGGCTCAAGGGAATCTATTAACTGTGAAATAAAATAAAGAAACCAATAAAATTTAAAAACTATTTTACATCCAATATACAATGGCATAGAGTCATTTTCCTTTTGCAAAGGAGAGGAATGGGGATGGGGAGACCAAACCAAAGCATGATTGAAATCCAGCAGGACAAAAACAAAATCCTGACACTCCTCTGGCATCTGGGCCTCTTGGGGGCATGATCTGGGCACCAATAGCTTGGGGTAGCCCCATCTCTCTAGTCCCGCTGCCTATAGCAGATGTCGTCTCTCTCTTTGGCTGGTTCCACTCCATGCCTGTGAATTTCCTCGGCAGGCATCCCAAGGTCCTGGCATGTCCACCATCCATTGCATCTCCATTGAAGATGGGCTTCACCCTCACAAAGCCTGCTCAGGAGCTCCATGTAGGCAATCTCTGCTACACACTGCTTGACCTCAATGACTTTCTGGAAATTTGGTGTGAATTTTCATGACCTACCCATGCTTGTATCTTCCATGCCTGCCAAATTTTACAGGGTGGATGAC